TATCTGTTTATACATATAAAACAGTTAACCATTACGTGAACATGTATACATTTTTTTTGTGGAAGAGAGAGACAGAGAGAGAGAGAGAGATCGAGTGCATGATGATACGCAAGACACGTGGCATCCACGTGGCTTCAACTAAACGTGGTTTACACCTATATGTGTGTGTGTGTGTGTATATATATATATATATGTGCACACCCCACACCTACTCTGCAGCCTATCGAAACGATGTTCTTGTTCGGGAGATACATATACATTCGGGAAACAGTTCTGCATGCATCGTTACAAACAGTCGCGTCTCTATGAAAATGAAGATTTGTAACCTTTCAAACCTTTTAAATTCTCTCTGCAGTTCTTTCACAACTTACGACGTGGGAACATTTCAAGTTCAGATAAGAAGAAGAAGAAGAAGAAAAAGGAGGAAGAAGAAGAGAAGAAGAAGAGAAGAAGAAGAAGATGGACGAATATGGATGTGGATTTGGTTCGATAATGCTGATGCTGATCGTGGTGGTTTTAGTCTTCTTCGCACCACTGGGAATGGGTCCATTGCAGCCACCTTCCTATTCTCTTCTCATCGTCTTCCCTGTGATTCTCGTTGCCATTCTCATCTTCCTTTCCTACGCGTCCAAGTAATTATTAATGACTTTAATAAGTCATCCGTACATATACATGAATACACATGTGTAAGCATGTGTATGTGTGTGTTAAATGTGTGTCTGTTATCTGTTTAATGTTGTCGTCTGTTGGATTTATCCATTTATGTTGGTTATGTGTAATAAGGGAGAGACTTGAGAGTCTTGAACAATATGTTTTATTTTAATGATAATTACGATTTATATTTTATTTAATATAATTTCATTTTCTTCTTAGAATCATGTTCATGGCCCAATATTTTATGGGTGTTTGTATATCTATATATGCTGGGTTGTGGTTGTAGCCCAATGCATATAAATGGGCCTACTTTGCAAGTAGCTATATATATATATATATGTATATACGTCCATTTTAAAGCTTACACCGTTCATGCTTTGTTGGGCAAAAGTTGAGTGCTTGAAATTTTGGATGTAGGCAGGAATAATCTATGAAGATTGTAATGAACGATGCAGGAAGAAAATCAAGATAGAGAGATCAATCAACTGGATCATATACATACATAAACGAACAAAGTATTAAACTTGGTTTTCAATTTCTGAAATTTTCACTCAATTTTCCCTCTTGGTCTCACTCTCATTACCTCCACTCACCAATGAATTTCCAGGGCTCAACAAGCCATTCTTGTATAAAATATCTAATTCCTGAAAATAAGGACAAGCTTTACTCTTTTCAGGATGATGTTTCTTCCCATTTCCAATTGATTTTCTGAAGTACTTGTTGATGTTCTCCCATTTCTCCTTGCACTTTTTTGCACTCCGGGTGTATCCCATGTTAGTCATTCCGGCAGAAATCTCATCCCATATAGAACATTTGCTGACGCCTGTGGTTCGAAATTTATGTTCCATAGCAGTTCGGAGCATTATCAAGGCTTGTACTTCAGCATCTGGCCATCTTCTATTGCTTGGATCACACTTAATCTCTTTCTGAATTCCATTATCTTCCGTGCAAAAGATTGTCGATAATGGCTGCTGGGGTATTTCGATTTCGTGGCCTACTGTACTTTGAATGAAAGAAATAAGAGCTAAGCTACGGGCTGTTTCTTGTGCTCTTGCTTCCTCGTCTCTTCTCATCCTTTCGATTTCCTTCTGTCTCCAAGCTTCTTCTCTCATTATTCTCTCATTCTCCCTCCGCTCCATTGTCTCTATCAACTGTTTATGCATCTGCTCCTGCCTCTCCATCACTTTCTCCACCAATTGTTCCAGGAAAACCTCAAGCTTCTTCCTTGTTTCTCTCTTTCTCTTCCGATTCACAGGCTCTTTTAGCTTCTGATGACGTTTCTTTATCACTTTCTGAAGATGACCTGCACATAAAAACAGATAAAACCACATTGTTTGCTTCAAGAGAATCATATCAAGAATCAGACTCCAAAACAAACTTTTCTTTTCCTTCCTTACTGGTTCAGAGATTATGACAGAGAGGCAAGCACATGTTTCTTCAAGATTCTTTTATGTCATGCATATAACAAAGTTTTGATATTTCAGGGACTATAGCAAACAGAAGTGTGCAGTACATTGCCAGCACATATATATTGGATTGGTTCCCCATGTATGACAAGCGCATATATATATATATATTATACATGTATACATTGGATTGATTCCCCCATCTGTATGAAACTGGCATTAAACCTTGACTCCCCATGTATGCTATCTATCAGTAAGATAGCTCCAATCAACATAAAGCAAAACATATAATCCACAAGAGATATTAGCTAACTACACAATTGTTTTAAACAGAATATAACTTTATCCCCTCATACTCTTCTGAAATTGCGATTAAAGCAAATTCATTTTGAGACAAACAGGCTAAAATTTCTTCCTCTATTGGCTGTCAAGAGTTGATATAACAGCAACTTCATTATTATCCAACTTGAATCACATTAAAGTTTCTAAATTCCATACCCCTATTGTCAAACTTGCTGAAGAAAAGAAATCCACAACACAAAATACCCATTGAAGACCAAAAATTAAAAGGGTAAAACTAACAGGGGGATGGTGTTCTTGATTTTGGTTCACTAATCTCGCTGAAAAAGAAGCTACTTACTTTAAGAATTCATATAAAATAAAATGATAAAGAAAAATGTGAAAAACAAAAAGAAAAGCAAATGTGAGAAACAAAAAGAAAAGCATAATAATACAGAAACCAAACAAGTGGAGTACAGAAAAAAAGAAGAATACACTAAAAGCCTACGACTAAGTAACAATGCCCTGAAAAATACCATTAATCAACTTCTAAAGGTGTTAGCTTTTACCTCACAGACATGTTCCCCAAACTATTAACAGACCCGCCCCGATTCTCCTCGCTCGTTTCCGACCCGACCCGCTCTAAATCAACCGCATCAGACCCACCACCGCCAGCGTCCGCCATGTCACCAACCAGAGGTTTAACCTGACCGTGAAAACACTGAACTACGTTGCCTCCGCCGAATCCTAGGTCTGGCAGCCTATCTAGGGTTCCGGCGAGTGCAGCGGAATCATCCGGAAACGGAGGCGGAGGATCCTCCATTCGTCCGGAGAATCTGATGGGACGAAGCTTCTGAGGCGGACTAGGGTTTGTGGCGACGAGTGAAGCTATATGGTCCTCTAGCGGGTGAATCACGGCCGTCGGTTGGTGCTGATCGTAGACCAAATCGCAGCCGTTGGTCTGAGGGAAAGGGTCCACGTGTTGAGGGAAGCCATCGATCTCCCGTAACTGGCGGTCGGCGGTAAGCAGTTCCATGGAAGTGGTAAAAATTTTTGCGGCGTGAAAGGGTTCTTTTGAGATAAGAGAGGATAGTAAAACAACGAGTTAAAAGGGTAAAAAGGATTTTGGGCTTATGCAATTACATATTTACCCTTATCAATTTTCCATATTCACGATTTTGTCCCTTGTCAGTCTCGCTTGTCTCTGAAGGGTAAAATAGGGAATGCACAAGTCATTCCCAAACACGCAGCTATACCCCGTGAGTTTGATTGTACGGGTTGAATATGAAGGGATTTTTCGTTCGAAGTTTCGCGGGATTTGATGATCGAGTCATACGCGGCGTAGGATGAAATGAAATCAGGTGGTAAATACCCGGAAGAAGAGATGATTATGTCGTCGAAAATCAAGAAATGATTGATGACATATATATATATATATATATATATTGGTAAGCTGCTCTGCATCGCTTTCAACGCCGTTGCTGATGTTTCCATGAGCACAAATATCTCTTGTTTCTCTTCTCTGAGACCTTGAATTTCAAGAGGTACAATATCGTACATTGACAATTTTGTATTAACGACGACAATATCTTTTGGTTCTGTTCGGAAACTGTCCAGATTCTATGAATTTGACGGATAAACAATAGTGTTTTCACATTTTGTTTGTATAGGGGGATTACTGTTGGAGCAGACAATCGAGTTTGGAGTAAACTTAAAATGTCGAGTCTGGAGAGTTGTTTTTCTCAAGTGGAAGAGATTAGACTATTTCCTGGTATCTACGATCATCATGGAGGGGTAACTGTGGAGATTACTGACCGTATGGAGTATGAAATCTTTGCGTCAATTCTTCGAGCATCTCTTCTGCATTGGAGGAAGCAGGTAGTTTATTTTTGAATTTTGACCGAGTTTTTGTTGTGATTAACGGCACTGTTACTCTATTGTTCTTCAGATTCAGTCGGGAGTTCTTTGGTATGCATTATTTTCTTCTTTTTGGACTGTGACGTGACATTTGTGGTTGGAAAAAAAAAAAGCGGATTTCTTGAACCGTCAACGAAGTTACAGGGGGTTTTGTGTCACAACAGTCTCGAGTCAAAAGTTTTTTCCAGCTTAATCAGTTGTAAAATTATTAGTCTAAAACGAAAAGGGAAGAAGAATTCACTTCTTTTTTCACCTTTTAAGTATTTCTTACCAAATAATCATCATATATGTAAGAGTTTATAAATTGGAATTTACTCATTAATGCATTTTTTACTTATTTTTTCAATAGTTTGTAAACTAGACGAGCATATATAAGATTCGAAGAATCAAATCATATGAATAGAAGTATGAAATCTTTTAACTCTTCAAATCTGTGGAGCATAGCAGTGTGAGTCCTTTCCATTAAATATTGTGGAAAATTTATGATTTTTCCTTTTTTTCTTCCCCTCCTCACTTTAAGTTAATTTACCAAATCCACGTGCTTAAATATCTACGGGATGTTCATGTGAGTTACTTTTTGGCAGGGGAAAAGTGGGGTTTGGATGAAATTTCCAATTGAGCTTGTAAATCTTGTTGAAGCTGCAGTTAAGGTAACTTTTTGCTTCTCTGTAACATATGGCTCATGTCCTGTATTACACAATAACCTTCCATGTTTACTTACTTTGTCTGTCGAGTTTGATTGTTTTTTGTAATGCTGTTCATGCAGGAAGGATTTTGGTTCCACCATGCAGAGCCAACTTACCTTATGCTTGCCTATTGGATTCCCGAAGGTGTTCATAGTCTTCCAGCAAATGCTTCTCACCGTGTTCGTATTGGTGCCCTTGTCGTGAATGATAAGAGAGAGGTACTCCCTGGAATTTGGGGGTTTTTTTAACTGTAACAACTAATTATAAATTCAAACTTAGTTTAGACCTGTGTTTTCCCAAAACCTTTTCTTGCTTTCTGATGGTTTTTTTGGTTCTATCTGCTCACGGTGAGGCAGAGATTGTCTGATTTAACTGGTTTTCAAGAACCATAAATTTATCTTACTTGGCATTAGGTATTAGTAGTCCAAGAAAGCAAGGGTAGATTTCAAGGGATTTGGAAATTTCCCACTGGAATTGTTAATCAGGTATGTGCAACCTGGTTTGCTTTTTCATTATGCATAAACGATTATGCAGTTTGGAGTCATTCTCCATTTACACGGAGTTGTACATTGCAGGGTGAAGATATTTGTGTGGCTGCAGTGAGAGAAGTCAAGGAAGAAACAGCAGTAAGTAATTTTCATGCCACTTGTATGCGAATAGCTATGAGTTGTTATACATTTGAGCCACAGGGAGATATTAATTTTATTGAAATAATTTGGTTTTTCTTGTTTCTTGATCCAAGATTGACACAGAATTTGTTAAAGTTTTAGCATTCAGGTAAGACATTTATTCTATAATCATATTTATTGTTCCAAATTAGCTTTTACATAGATTAGTGGATTTGTGAAAGCTTGACCACATTACATCACAAAGTTTAGAATAAAATCTAAGCTCTTGTATCTAAAACTTATTTTGCTTCTTCGAATCACTTCCTGTAGATTAAAAGTCTTAGTAATCAATCACCTTTTGGCATATGCTTCTTTACAGACAAAACCACAGAACGTTCTTTGAGAAGTCAGAGTTATGCTTTATGTGCATGTTGCATCCTCTTTCGTTTGACATTCAAGAGCAGGAATCAGAAATAGCAGCAGCCCAGGTAACTCTTGCTACCAATAAAGACATTTATAAATAATGATATATAGAATTTTAAATGTAATCTAAACCTTATATATATGTTTGAGATTGTGTTTGATTGATTGCTCATCTAATTCTCACATATGATATTTATGTTAATATATAAAGTTGGGGTTAGAACATAATTTATACATCTAATGCAGTGGATGCCATGGGAAGAGTACATGGCAAAACCATCTCTCCAAGAACATGATTTTTGGAAGCGCATTGTTGCTCTATGCTTATCAGAGGAAGATGGAGATTGTTCTGTGGTTTGCAACTCGAATGTCCCACCTGCTTCTCCTCTTAATTTCTATGCTTAGTATTTTAGGTTTATATTTAATTATATTTCTAACAGTTTCACGTGTGTTTTGCTTCGATTTTTTTTTTCAATTTCTAGTTTAAGTTTCCACCTCTCTACTTTGGAATCTCTAATCACGAGGAATATTGCGATCGAACATCTTAAAAATTAAGAATTGAATTCTCATCATTAGAGATTTCAAAATAGAGAGGCGGAAACCTAAACTAGAAATTAAATAAAAACCAAAGCAAAACACAAGTAAAAGTGTTAGAAACATAATTAAATATAAACCTAAAGTATAATTTGATGTGTTTTAAGTTACCACCAACATCACAGTGTTTCTCAATAAGCAATAAGAATTGAACATCTTAAAAGTTAAAAGTAGAGAGGTGGAAACCTACGATTATGTTTTGACTGTATTTCTATGTAACCATCTTGCACTTGTTCTTTAATAAACTTATATACAAATAGATTGTGTATAGTTTCATATAACTGAAAGTGAAATTAATGGTCTTGTTCCCAACCAATAGTACAGTGGGTTTATTGACATAAACTGATATCAAACAGACCTGCATCTTAAGCCAAGTTGAAGAATTGCATTGTAAGTGGAATAAAATTTGATTCTTGGGTTTGATTCAAATTTCAGTTATATAAAATAGTAGTGAGAATACAATATATTAGCATCTGTGGTTAAGGTAAGATTTCTTTTAATTTCTTACCTTCCCTTCTTGTTGCCCTTGTCCAAGATATGTAGAGAAGGATGGATTGCCTTCTTGTATACATATATATATATATATATATATATGTATACAAGAAGACATACTTACTAATTATATATATATGTGTGTGTGTGTGTGTGTGTATAGTATGCTAGTGCATTACAATTAGGTGGATAATTAATTAGGACATATTTGTGGTACTTTGTATATTTCAAATGGGTTGATAAATCTTTGTAAGAAGTCTCTTCTCCTAATCCGTTGGGACGTTTAATCATCAGAATTATGATAAACTTAAATTAATTCATCATTTGCCACCTACAAATTCTCTCTCTCTCTCTCTCTCTCTCTCTGTATATATATATATATATACATACAGGTTAATAATAAGTTTAGATTACCCACCAACTGAAAAGCAATCAGAAACTAGTTTACGTAAAACTGAGCAGATGGAGATAGTTGGGGCAGGCTTGAAATTAGCATATATATATACATATATAAATATAATCATATAATGTATCCATATTTTATATAGTAAGATAAAGAAATAATCCATTTATTCGTAAATTATGTTATTTATAAATATAAACATTACACAGATAACATTTAAACAAAAAAATAATTATAATTATATAAAAAAAATATTAATTATGTTTAAGTGTCAAATGATTTTCAATAATTCATCGCTGACGATATTTTAATTTTGGCATTGTCTTTTAAGATATTTAATTAATAATTAATTATAGATAGAGAAAATAAATTTAATTTCAGTAAAATTAAAATTCAAATGTTTAGAATTAATTTAAGCTTAATTAATTGAATAATTTCCACGTGTCAGTTCTAACATATCAAAAAAAAAAAAAAAGAAATGATAAGAGTAGGCTACCAACCTCCAGAATTTTTAACACTTCTTCTATTTCTTTTGTAAATTTTTATTTTCGGACATATATATATATATATTACTATACCTATGCATGCCCGTACGTACTTGCTATATTCTGTAGTTTTAATTGAGAAAATAATCTTCCCCAAAGCATTAATATATATATATATATATCTGTATTTGTCTGGTTCATTTTTATACTCTGCAGGTAGGTGAACCCAAAAAAGATCACCTTTGTTCATTAATTTTCCAACTCTTTCTTATTATGTTATTATTTTCTCTGTAATTTCGGTCACCTTATATTGTTTTATATACGTAATACCTATATATACATATATATATATTTTTCATAAAACTTCAAAAATGGGTTATTAATTTTATTTCTTTTTTTCTCTTTTGAAGGGTAGATTAAAATTTATTCAATATTAATTTATGTTTTAGGTTGGTAGGAGAGAATTTAGAGGAAGCTTTTGACGACAAAAGTGAAAAGTCAACCACGAAGGACATGGTTGTAAATTTCAAGCTTTCATTATATTTCACACATATATATATATATATATATGTCACGGTTGAGCCACCTTTCTTATGTTCTTTATCTTTCCCCATATATATATACATATATATCCACGTTCTTCGTCTGATCAGGAAGATTAACACAAAAAAGAAAATTCTTTTTGGGACAAAGAAGAGATCATGAGCTGCTTCCGCGGGCGTATACTTTACAATATTAATATTCTTGCGTTGTTCGTCTTCTTCTTAATGTCGATCTTGACGAGCTCCGAGTGCAGAACTTCAATGGCGGAAGATGATCAGAACCCATTATCATACGAGCTGTGGAGCAGAGAGGAGATGGTACGGATGGCCGGCTATGGAGAAGACAAGCTCTCCACCGTCCTCGTCGCCGGCACCGTTGTTTGCGAGGCTTGCTTGAGCGGTGAACATGAGCTTCGTGTCTGGCCTGTTCCAGGTTTGTGTAATTAATTAAATATCGTCTCTTGTTATTAATTAATTTCATCTTATGTTGTTATATATATATATATATATATATATCCGTATAATTATATCATGCATATATGTTAACTACATACGCATGTATAGAACTTCATGTATTACTAAAATTTCTGGTTCAGGGTCATGTTTCATTTCTTATAGAATTTTGCTTTCGATGTGGTTGTAAAATAGATAGATTTACAAAACTTGGAACAAAAGAAATTCCCTAAGAGGAGATGTCATGTTAAGTATTGGTAGCTAGTCAATTAGTTTTGTGGGATGGAAGCAACATATACATACATATATATGCACACACGCACACACACACACATGTAGATATATGGTGTATCTATAGGCCAAATTGCAGGTATGAACCAGGGATTTCATTCATAATAATCTTTTTATTCTCCATTTGGGTTCTTAGAGTTGTTATGGTTTCAAGCTTCTTTAGTACTTAAATCATTCCTAATTAAATGAAAGAATATGATATATAGTGAAAATATAATAACACTTCTCATCATGTAAGGAAATTGGGTCATACATTATATGCCATATTCATATGATGTATTTATATGTATACATAAATATATTTCATAATCATATTATTTACTAAAACTAATGAAATTAATGTATCAATTTATGCCAGCAGCCTTGTCACATTAGCCTTAAATAGGTTGAATAAGCCCATATCAATCACAAAATAAATTAATTAATTCTCTAAACCCTTGAAAAAATACATTAAAAAGACGAAAATTTTAATTATATTATTGAATTGGTGATAATCAATTTATAATATTTAACTTAATAAAATAAAAAATTTAATTTAATACTCTGTTAATAAATTTATAATAATTAAATTAAATTAAATTAAATATCAACAAATTGAAAAATATAAGTTTTTTTTAATATATATATATATATATATAATTAACTGTTTAAGTAGAATACACACATATGATTCGAATTAAATGTTAAAAATTGTTTGATTTAATTAGCTATGAAAAATTTCATTGAGTTTTTTAAGTTTCTAGCTAGATTTTGACACAGATGAGCGAATTAGCAGAGGAATGTAATACAGCCATATACAGATATATATATATATATATATATATGTACGGGAGTGTAAGTAATGAATTTGGTATACAGGTGCGTCGGTGACGGTGAAATGCAGCAAAAGTGGGGAGAGCAAATGGGTATGGGAAAGAGGTATGACAGACGAATATGGAGATTTCTTGATTGATCTTCCATCGCAGCTCCATGCAACTCCGAACTTGGAGAAAACATGTTACGTGAAAGTTCTCCGGCTGCCGACCAACTCGCAGTGCCGGCCGGCGTACGTGAAAAAACAGAAGGGTCTAAAACTCTCCTCCGTCGGCAATGGCATCCGAACTTACTCCGCCGGACGGATCAGGTTCCAGCACTTCACATCAAAGTCTTCCCCACCATGCATCAGGGTTGGCACAGGTGGTACAAAACAGATTGCTTGATGAATATGTATGTATGTATGTATATATATGTATAGAGATGTATGCGTATATGGCTCATTTAGATGGCGCTTCAGTCACAAATGTTCGAGTTATATATGAAGCTCAAAAGCCCAATGTTTCTTGTCTGCGTGTATATTGTATATACAGAGTGGTGTTTCCATTTTTTTTTTTCCTTATGGGTAATGAATTCTGACGGTATGCAGCTATAAATGTATATTATATATATATATATATATATATATATATATGAATAATACTTGAAAACGTATTCTATTAAAAATTGGAAACTTATTAAAACAACATAAAAATTAAAAAAAAAAAATGGAAGAGTAACATCCAAAAATGGTGGCCCATGCAGGTCTCGAACCTGCGACCTTCGCGTTATTAGCACGACGCTCT